GATGATGATGATGATGATGATGATGATGGTGGTGGTGGTGGTGGTGGTGGTGGTGGTGGTGGTGGTGGTGGTGGTGGTGGTGGTGGTGGTGGTGATGATGATGATGATGATGATGATGGAGGAGGAGGAGGAGGAGGAGGAGGAGGAGGAGGAGGTTTCGGATTTCTTCCGAGAGCTTTAGGAGTCCTTTTGTGGCGTCTTGGCTGTCAGTTGGCTGTCACAGGGTCCTGTTGTGGGGTCGGAATTGCGGGAAACTTGGTGTTTTTCGCGGTGATTCCAGGTTTTCCTTATTTTGAATTCCAGGTTTCCCAGAATCGAATTATTGGAACCTTGGAATCACTACAAACATGTTTTTCGTGGTGGTTCCACGTTTCCCATACTTCGGGAGTATGGGAAATTGGGGCTCACTAGAAAAAAGGGAGGGCTTTCGTGGTGATTCGAGATTTCCCATAATTCGAGTTCCAGGTTTCCTATAATCGAAGTATGGGGAACCTGGACTTATCACTTTTTTCCTGGTGGTTCCAGGTTTCCCATCATTCAGGATGATGGGAAGCCGCGAATCACAACAACAAGAAACTATTTTTCGTGGCGATTCCGAATTACGGGACGCCTGCAACCACGACAAGTAATTCTACCCTCCCAGGGGTTCCCAGGCAGTCGTCCAGCCATGGGTTTCCCATACTTTGCGAAGAATCACTACAACAAATGTGTGTTTTTCTTAGTGATTCAGGTTTCCCATACCTCGCATGCCTAATTCCGAAGTGTGGGAAACCCATAAACTGACGAATGCCTTCCTGGGCACCTCTTGGGGCCCTCTTGGGGCACCCTTGAGAGCGTCGGGGGCCATCTTGGAGGAGATCGGTCAAAGGAGGGGAGCTCCTCAATTTGCGCGCCCCCCCCTCCCCCCAAGAGGCCAACATGTGGCCAACACCTTCGTAAGCTTAATGGTTTTGGCTTCCTCGACAAGGCCATATTGGACGCTCCAACCCCTCGCGAAACGCCCCGAAGTCCAGAGGGGGAGGCCTCCTGCCCGCAAGCCGTCTCGCTCATTCCCACCCGCCCTCCGAGCACATCAGTAGCACGCGAGCCGCAGCGTGTTCCGCGGTAGTCTTTGGATGGGCAGCTAATGGGAAGCCAAACGGACCCTTTGTGCGCAATGCTGCGGCGAGGTGCGCCAGGCGTGCCAGGCGCGCCACACGCGCAAGGTGCGCGAGGCACACCCCTGTAGCCCAAGCGTGCCAGGCACGCCTGGCGCGCCAGATGCGCCACGTGATCCACGTGCGCCATGTGTGCCGCATGCTCCGGCCGCGCCGGGTGCGCCACGTTCGGGGCACGCGCAGAGTGTGCCAGCTGCGCCTGCGCACGTGGCGGTACACATCGGGAAACGTGTCGGCCCCAACCACCCTTGTCGAAAACAAGTGCGCAATCGTGGCCGGGTGGCCATCATAGCGTCTGGTGGGCCTGCACATAGCAGGCAAAACGCCACCACCCCCGCCGTCACAATCAAAAACCAATGCACAGTGATCGCGGGGTGCCCGCGCATGATCCAGATTTTGTTTCGAAGTGGATGTTGTATGGTTTTTTTGACGGGGATGCTGGCCTTGCGCGCAGCAGGCAATATGCGGAAACCCCCGCCGTCCTGCCAAAAGAAACAATACGAAGTGCTCGCGCCCCCCGATCATGACCCGAGGTTTCGCCCCAACGTGGATTGTACATTGTTTTTTGACAGGGATGGTGGGGGGGGCTGCTCGCATTGGTCCTGGTTTGCTGCTGGTCGCCTGGCGGAGGGGGTGTGTGTGAACAGGGAAAGGTCAGGAACCTCTCCCCGAAAGGGAAGGAGGGGGGTTGGAAGAAGAAACTTCCCAAACTACTCACGCCCTGAAGGGCTGGTGGGATTCGCACCTCCAGCCTGCCCTCGCCAAGCCTTAGATCCGTAGTTTCTTGGCTTGGACAGTGTGTGGGGGTGGGGGGGCTGTGGCTGCCGTGCCGAGGGGGTCACCAAGATAACGATCACACCATGCCGTGTGTTCATATCTAGGGGATGAAGTGGCACCTGCGTGCCCAGGCTCATACCCATCGAGTAAGGTATGTGAGCAACAACGTTGGGAACCTATCATTCGAAGTATGGGGCAAGCGGCATGGGACAACGGATCTGTATCACCAATGTGTTAGCGAATGCTATGCGCCAGTGTGCTGATCAAGCGTACCTAAATGCGAATGTACCTGTCAATGCGCTGAGCAACTGCGTTCGACAAATACGCAGAAATCAATTGGACACAGCATTGGGCACAGTCGAGAGCAGGTGTGGTTGTCACACCTTCCGATGAGTTTGGCGCATGTGGGGTTTCCAAACATTGCGATTGCAGTGAAGCAAGCGGGGGGCACCGATGCGATTGCCACAGCATGCGAGTGCACGAGCTGCTGAGAACCGCCCCTATGGGGGTTGTAGAAAGGACAAAGCTTGGACCACAGCTGGATGATCACGTGTCAAACCATTGGAAAGCAGTTGTCTTCTAACACTTATGTGCAACACCAGTGAAGACGAGTGTTATTTCGAGCATTTCGAGCAAGCGTGTTGAAACACCAGTGGGTTCTAGACCGTGGCGCTGTGATCTGCGTGCGGGGCGCGTCCAGCTTGCAGAGTTTCGAATATGCCCCATGCGAGACGGTCGTCCGAGTCCACGCGCCTGCGCGAACAATCGCCCCTGAGCTCCCTCCCAGCCTTCCACTTCCCAGCCCTGCAGTGGGACGAATGCTGCTGCAGAGCTTGCGAGGGTGCTCCGGGCCCGCCCCGCCGTGATGCTACCGGCCCCTCTCCCGCACCGCCTGGCCCCCCACCTGCACCCCTCCCACAATCTAGGCCGCCTGGATGGGGGCGGAGCAGAGGGTCGGAGGATCGCGCCGCATCGCCGATGCATCGCCCATGCGGCTTGCTTCACGTCGACGCTGCCGATGCATCGCCCACGTCGCCGGTGCACCGCCGGTGCATCGCCGGTGCATCGCCGATGCATCGCCGATGCATCGGCGATGCGGCTCGATCCACCGACCCCATCTCTCCAGCCCGGCCCCACCCAGGAGGCCTCCACACACACGAGGGCCGGGGAGGAGAGGCAGGGCAGATGCGGGGGGACAGCGGGCGGGCCGTGGAACGGGGGGGAGCGCCGGGGCCCTCCCTCGGAGAGGTGCGCACGATGGCGCGCCGACCCTGCCGGCGGCTGTGGGGGGAGGGTTCTGGGCCTGTCGTCCTGGGGTGATCCCTGGGGGACACTCTCTGAGTCGACGCGTCCCCGTCCCGGCGGCGACCTTTGGCTCCCCACCCGAGGCGGGCCGAGCCAGGTCGCAATCGAGTCGAAGGGGGGTCTATTTTTCCCCCTGGCTCCTTGCCCGCCAGGAGGGGGGGGGGCGGTCCGGGGGGAGGGTTCCGGGAGGATCCCAGCGGCGCCCAGGGTCAGAAAGCCCTTCCGCCTTCCCTTTTGGGTGATTTTCGAGCCAGTTTGTTTTTTTTCAGAAGTTTGATGGCCCGAAGACGGCCCGAGAGGTCTCCAAGACAGCCCAAGAGGAATTGAGAACATGTGACAGGGTGACAAAATGTTCTCCACGAAAACCTGTAAACTTGAACCGAGTCCCTGCGACACAGTGAGGAGGAACAGAGCGGAGGAGTGATGATGCTGGAAGTATTGCTGGCTTGGACTCTAGCTCCAGCTCTTCTGCCGATTGCTACTTCAAACCCCTCTCCAAATTACGACATTTCCGATTCCAGCCCCTGTCCTACTTCCACCAGGTTTCGACGATGGCTCGGATTGTAATTCCGAGTCCGGATTTGGCCGCCAGTCCCACCTTGCCTCCGATTTCAGCTCTGATACCAGGGCTGCGGCGGACTGGCGTATGAGCCCATCTGAAGTTGTTGGTCAACGACGCGCTGAAATGCCTAACGCTTACGAAACCATCCTGTTCTACAGCTCTCAGGAAGATGGGTATAGTTTCGAACGCTCTGGTCGCGCTTTCCACCCCGCCTTGGACTCTAGCTCCGACTCCGGCTCCATGTCTCCTTGTGCTCACAGTCGCTCCAATTCCACATCCGCCAGTGCTATTTCGAAACAGGGAGGGCGGGCAAATCGTGCCCCCCCCCCCCCCCAACACCCTATCTATATGTGTGTATATATATATATATATATTTGTTTGGTGCTCAGTTCGGTGGGATTTATCGTTAGCCTGGTTCTACCGTGTTGCGTCTCCCTGGGCGAATGGACGTCCAGACCGTTACGCTCGAACTCAGCACCTTCCATCCAGCGCTGGCGCAGCACACCGGGTACCAGGTGCAGCTCGATGGGCACAAGGTGCAGCAAGGGTATGTGCAGGACAACAGGTACGTGGTGTAGCATGACGGGTACCAGGTGCCCCAAGTGCAGCACGACGGGTACCTTTTCGCCGACGTCGGCTTCTGAGGCTCTCCCTTCTACCCTCTCCTCTCATGCAGTTTTTTTTGTTTCCTTGGACGTGACGTTTCGATAATCGGGATGGCGCTTTTGCCTGGCCACTGCGAGCATGAGGCGCTGGCTCCCCCTTTTGGGATCGCCTCCGTTTCGTGTCCGGGCGGGGCCGTCTCCACTCGCAGCGGAGCTACTACACACCTAGTTGTTTCGACTTACTCTTCTTTTTTTTTGTTTTTGTTTTCTCTCTCTCTCTCTCTGTCTGCCTCCGCCTTCCCCCGCCCCCTGCGTGTTTGGGACTTGGGCATGGTCCTACCGCACACGTCGCGATATCTGCTTTACATATTCTGCGCTGTTCCTATTTCTTTCCCTCCTCCCTGCCCCGTGCCTTGCCTGTCTGTCTCCCGTGGTGCTGGATATATTTTTGTGGCCGTATGGGCCCTGGGGGGTTCCACACAGCGTCGTGGTTCATTATCCTGGAACACAGGTCTTTGCTTGGGCTCGCCTCTGGCGGTTTTGCCCGTGAGCTCGTCTTTGCCGCCTGACGTGTGTCTGCTCTCCGTGTCCTCCTCCTCTACTCCGGCCTCCTACTTCTCTTCGGAGCGTGCTTGCATTGTGGAGCCCCCTTGCCATCCGTTGGGAAGCATGCAGGTTTTATCGTCGTATGGGTTTATCTTGAGGAACAGAAATAAAACAAGCAACTACTCTTGGTTACCCGAGCTACCTGTGCGGAGGATCTGCACAAATGTGGCCCGTGGGGCAGGCTTAATTTAGGGCGGTCGGGACCCACGGTCTCAAGAATCGAACTTCAGATCGCTTTCGTTTTTAGAGCTTGCGTTTGCTTGAGTCTGATGCATTTTCCTGCCTGCCTGCTTGCCTGCGCACTTAATTGCATCACTGTTTTGGGCCTTGCGCAGCTGGCATAGTTCTGGCTGGCGCTACTGCGTTGTGATGCGCGTGTGTTCCTGGACTGGCCAGGGCCTCCTTTCACACTGCGTCCAATGCCGTCTCACGAATATGAAAGGAGGGGTGACGCGATGACGAATAAACAGTGCGAGCGTTCGATACGGCCGTGCAGTTCTATGCCATCCAGGGTAGTGGCTGAGTGGCTGGATCTCCCCCGCGCCTCCAAGGCATTCTCCGATGAACAATGCAATCATGGCTGCCTTGCTTTTTTTCAAACGTCCCCATGTTGTCAGTCATCTCGCTCCGACCCCACCTACGAAAGAGAAGAGCGATGGAGGATGAGCGAAGCGGGGGGCGGGGCGAAGGCAGTGGGCAGCATTGAGCGATGTGCAGGATGGCAGAGGATAATGGGGTGCGGTCTGCCGCAGCAGGGCAGGCGACCACGCCACCCGCAAAGAGAGCGAAGATGGCGAACACGCCTGACAAGGCGGCGGGCTCGTTGGGGCCGATCCTGACGACCGTCCGAAATGTGTTTTCGAGCCGCTCTCTCCTCTGACATCTCAGAAAGTTTCGCTATGCCTCTCATGCAGCAGCCTGCCGCAGGCGCTCAACTGTCTTTGAGACATGGGAGCAATACATCTCTATTCTGCAGAAGCGAACCGTGTGCTTCCGTGGCACCTTTCAGGTTGACTTCATTCATTCACCTCCTGGCGCTGGGGCTCCAGCCACTTCTCTGTCGGGAAGTGCGCTCTCGTCCATGCACCAGCCACGCTGTTGGACTGCGAGCATGCACCTGGTCTCTGTCTGTGCACTCCCGCCACAGCCAGCACAAGTTAGAAGCACCAGCCACACTTTTGGACTGCGATCATGCATCTGGTCTCTGTCTGTGCACTCCCGCCACAGCCAGCACAAGTTAGAGGCAGGGAGTGGTCACATGTTTTCGCTATGGGTGTGTACTTCCCCCCTGCTTGTTTAGCATATGTCTGGGCCTGCCCGCCCGCCTTGGATCGGACTGGCTCAGCTGCCGTACGGTCTGCCCGCGTGTACGCCAGCCTGGGGGGCATCAAGCGGGAGGCACATTTGTGATAACAGGCTCCGGTAACGGGGCGGGGGCTGGAGGATAGCAGAAGAAGTGACGGAAGAGGTGCCCGAGCAGGGGCGCATGCGCGGAGCCCCTGGGTTGGGAGTTCTGTGCGGGATCCTTCGCAATCGACGCGTGAATCTCCACCGCAAGTTGGGATCGACGACGGGCATGGGCGTGGCACATGGCAGGACGGTTGCCTCATAGCGGCGTCGGTTCGTAGGATATGGATTCCAGCAACGGCATGATCGTTCGAAGCGTTCACCAGTGATACAACGGATGTGCCTCACAGACAACCCTTCGGGTGATGAGGAGCTCGGGGGAGGGCATGGACGCAGCTTCCTGTTTGCGCTCTGCGTCCGATCGGATTCGCACGCTACGAATCTCTTATCTGTCGACCTGGCTACCTACCAATCTCACTACCTACCCGTCCATTTCACAATCTACTGGTACCCATCGGTTTCACTATCTATCCAAAGATCTCACTATCGATCGTTCTCACTGTTCGCACACATGTATATGTACCAGTCTGAGTCTGTCTATCGTCCTCTGTCTTCCGATCTCGCGATCGATTTCTTGAGCCACCCACAGCACCATTTACCAGCCCATGGATCTTCGTCGCGGGGGCAACCCGCGGGGCAACCCGCGGGATCAACGCGTGGGACAACCTGTGGGAAACCGCGGGACAGCCACCGGACAACCCACGGGACACGGGACACGGGACAGCTGTGGGACAATCCCGGCGAGGAACCGCGCAGCCAGAGGAGAAAATTGTTCTACGATTTGGCCCCAGTTCCGCTGGCACATCGTCGCACTCACGCAGCTTCGCTTCCGCCGCACGCGTGACACGAACCGAAACCGATCTCCCAGTTCGGGTTACTTGGTTCTCACCCCCCAGCCTCCCCTCCAGTCAGACGCAGTGTAATTCTGCAGCGTGCGATGTGATATGGCAGGACGTGATGAGTTGTGTCAGAGGGCGGTGAAATTTCCACCTCATCCCGACGCGATGTAATACAGTCGCACGTGCCTGCAGATACCAATTCATGTGTGTATGTGTGTGTGTGTGCAGATAGTGAGTCGCTATGCCCGCACCTGTGGTCTCAACATCACCCTGATTCGAAGCCGCTCTCATTCGAGTCTGGGATTATCCAAGGGCTCTTACTCCATGGCAGTCAGCAGAACCAGTTTCGCATGCTCGGAGCAGTTTGCCCTCGTCGGATCATCGCCGATTGGTTCTACGCCCAAGCAGCATGCCACAACGAGGATCGCCCCGAGCTCTGCGCTGGGCTCCGCGGTGCGCGCGTGGCCAGGGGACCTCGGGATCGGCTGCCTCGATGCCGTCGCCCGCAACAGGCGTGAAGGAGGACGGGTGGCAGCGGCGGCGGCTTGGCGGCGGTCCGCGTGCTTGGCCTCGAGAAAACATCAAAGGAGGAAAAGGTACCCATACCGCTACCATTCTCTCGTTTTCCCCCTTTTGGGCTTCCTTGGAGGCCCTCGTCGCCACCGCTGAATTCGCTTCGAAATTCTGCTCAGAACGCGCCCCAGGAGAGGTCTGGGGAGTAGCGGGGTCGGTACCTTCTGGTTTCCCCCCAAACAGGGGAAAGGAGAGCAGGGCTGGAAGGAATACGGAGGGTGGAGGGTGGAGAGAAGAAGCAGACAGGAGGAGGAAGGGATAATGCCTGGAACCGGTATTGCTTGCCAGTCTCGAGGCTCCGTGTATTTGTTTCAAGCGTCTCCGATGCGCGGTCAATCCGCTGCACGCGAATCTGTGGACCAGAGGGTCCCCGGAGTAGCAGGCCCCCAGGACCTCTCAAGAGGGTATGCGGAGGGGTCACGGACGGCCCACATAGCTCCAAGACGGCGCCAAGACGGCCCCAGAGGGTCCCAGAGGGCAAGACGCCCCCAGACGGCTCAAGAGAACGCCAGAGGCCCTCAAGAGGCACCCGAGAGACCCTCCAGAAAGGCCCCCAAGACGGCCCCAAAAAGTTTCACGAGAGCGCCCTGATATCTTACGAGGGCCCGCCATGTGCAGAAGACCCCCAGACTGCCCAGCAGGCCCCAGGAGCCATGCATGCGATCGCGCCCGGCAGCAGCCGTGGACGGCTGTCACGCCCTAGTCGCCCCCGCCACCGGCAGGAATTGCGATTCCAACGAAGCCTCTGGGGTGCGTTGGCGAGCTCTGCCCTCCCGCCCCCCCCCCATACCCCCCCCCTAGAAGAGGATTTTGGACCCCTGGGGAGGGGGAGCGGGGGAGGGGGACAGTCAACTGTCTCACACAGGTCGGGAGGGAGGGTCCTGGCGGGGGGTTGGGGTTGGGGTGGGTTGTGATTCTCATGTCGTCCCCCAGCAAGCGAGGGTTGGCGGGTTTAGCAAAAATAGCGCACCAGACGTGACATCTGTATGCCCGGCTGCCTGCGGCACGCTCCGCCGACGTGCCAGCCCAGCACTTTGGGTGGCGCCTGTTCGAGGGGACACGGGAGGCCGTCACGTGTGGCACCTCCTGGCTCCAGGCATGGGAGAGCCATGATGGTGATAATGAGCATGATGATGACGATGACGATGACGATGACGATGACGATGACGATGACGATGATGACGATGATGATGCTGCTGATGATGATGATGCTGATGATGATGATGATGCTGATGCTGATGCTGATGAGGATGATGCGGATGATGCTGATGGTGATGATGCTGCTGATGATGATGCTACTTATGTTGATGCTGCTGATGACGATGCTGATGCTGATGCTGATGATGATGCTGATGATAATGAGCATGATGATGCTGATGATGATGTTGATTATGATGATGGTGGTGGTGCTGCTGATGATGATGCTGCTTATGTTGATGCTGCTGATGACGATGATGAAGATGAAGAAGAAGATGATGATGATGATGATTCTGCTGCTGCTGCTGCTGCTGGTGATGATGATGATGATGATGATGATGATGATGATGATGATGATGATGATGATGATGAGGAGGAGGAGGAGGAGGAGGAGGAGGAGGAGGAGGAGGAGGAGGAGGAGGAGGAGGAGGAGGATGAACGCGGTGCTCTCTCTTATTCTCTCTGCCCGCGCGCGTCGTGGTCGTCTGCAGCGGCTTCGGCCCTGAATCCTCGCGTGGCATCCCTGGGCGGGCGCTTTATGCAGGCGCTTGCCCAGGCCGCCATTGAGGGTGCGGGGGCGGTGCTCTTCCAAGGTTTGCGAGCCGCGCCCTACGAGCGTCTTGTAGGCCAACCCCTGGCACCTCTCGCGGGCTGCGCCGGCTCCTCCGCAGGGTCCGCGTGGTCTGCTCAGGCCGACCTGAGCGGCGGAGGGTATATACTGCACCCCCGACGCTGCAGGTGCGGCCTGCCCTACCGTCTGCCTGGGGCTGGCGGTGGACCTGAGCAGCGGGGTGAGTCCTCTGCTGCTTTCGTCGGTGGTGGCCCTGTTGGTGACCGCTGCCGCCTGCAGCCTCTGCGTAGGCTGTTGCGTCGGGGCTCTGGTGGCCCGCTGGCGGGGGTCATCAGGGCTCCCGCGCGCGCGGGCGTCGATCGCAGCCGCTTGGGGGCCCCGGTCGCGGCCCGCAGCGTTCCCAGGCGCGCAGGCTCAGGCGCGCAGGCTTAGGAGCGAGCGCGGGCCTTGGCACGAGGCCCAGTCGCTGCGCCTCATCACGGCTGAGCTTGGCTGGCGGCCAGCGCGCCCCGAGCCTGCCAACCGCCATGGCGGGCGACGCTTCAGCGTCGGGGGTGTTCGCCATCCCCGACGGGCCGCTCTGGTCCGACCTTCACCCGTTCTCGTCCCCGGCAGCGTCGCGCTACGACCGCTGGCGGCTGGACGAGGGCGAAGTGAGCTACGCCGCGATCCCCTTGGCGACTCGGCCTGGGGGCATCTTGCTGGCACTGCCTGGGTCTTTTCGCTCAGCCGAACTTTTCAGTTTGGCGGAGGCGGAGGGGTTCAGCGGGCTGGTCGGCCCCTTCCACGCAGTCAGCGTGCCATTGCTCGGCGCGGCGTCTCGCCCGCGTCTTGTCCCGTTCGGATTTTCCCGTGACCGCGCGGGTTGGCCGCGCCTTTCGGGGGTCGTCGGCCTGCGCGGCGGCTACGTCGCGATCCGCGGCGCTGCGCCTATGGACGGGGAGGAGGCGCCCCCCGGCCTGGAAAGGGCAACGCCCTACTACTCCGCGGACGAGTTCGCAGGGGGCGAGGGGGAAGACGACGCCGACGCCGAGGAGCGCCCCCCCTCCCCGTGCGAAACACTCCGCTGCCAGCGGTGCCTCTGCCTCCGCCGCGGGCTCGTCTCGGCGCTCAGTCGATACCCTGCGCGAGCGAAGCCCGCCCCCGTGCAGGGTGGGGTGGGCGGTCGCCGCGGCTCTGGGCAAGGGTGCGCCTATGACCCGCGCAGAGATCCAGCTGGAGATCCAGCGGCTGATGGCCGCGAATGCGGCCCAGTCGGTGGCTCCGCCTCTGGGGGCGCGCCTGTGCACGCTGGGGGCGCGCGTCGAGGCGCCCCGGCTGTTCGCGGACGAGGCGGCGCGCGTGGGCTTTCCTCAGGGGGACCTGCAGGCGATGCTGGCGCAGTCGCCGCCCCCCCGGCAGCGGGTCCAGAGCCGCGCCCCGGCGCCTGAGTCGGCAGTGGCGACGGCGTGGGGAAAGGGGTGCCCGTGAGCGCGCGTCCCCCTCTTCCGCCGCCCTTGGCGCCGCCGCCGCCCCTGACCCCCCGAGGCCGGCTATGCTCGACGGGGTCGGCGACTGCGTCGGGGGGGGCGTCGCGGGAGACGGGCCTCGCCCGAGCAGCGCCCCAGAGTCCACTTAGGAGCTGGCGTTGCCGTGTCTTCGGGTGTCCCTCCAGCGGCCAGGGCAGGCCGCGGCGGCGACGCGCCCCTGTCTGGGGGCGCTCAGCGACCCTCTTGATCCCGCTGCTCCCGCCACTCTCGGGGTAGCGGTCGAGCGGGGGGGTTGCTGGGGCCTCGATGCGCGGGGTCGTTCGTCGCGGGGAGCGGCCGCAAGTGTTGGTGCAGCGCGGGCAGGAGGTTCGATCCACCCCGAGGGCTCACCTTGCTCGGGCTCGGGCGGTGGAGCCGTCCGCGGTCACCCCCGTGGCCATGCCTTAATATTTTCGCGAGCGCAGTCGCTGGGGGCCCGCCCAGCGACGCGCGAGATGCTCGCCCTTGTCGCGTGAATGTGCGCGGAGCTGTGGCGCGCGCCCGAAGGCGGGAGCGCAGACAGGGTGGGTGCCCTGATCAGCTGCCAGTGCATGTTCATCGACCAGTTGGCAGGGGGCCGCGGTTACCTGGAAGTCGGTTGCCTCCCGACGGGGCTCGAGGCGCCCCCGGTGCAGGCGACAGGTATGCGCGCGGAACGGGGGGCCGAGTTGCTTTTCTCCCCGCTTGTGGATGCTCGCTGGCTGTCGGCTCAGGGCGATTGCGTGAAGGAGAATGCGTTCTTCCGTTCTCGCCTCGATGCCGAGCGAGCGGGGCGGGCGAAGGCCCCCCTGGCAGCCGAGTCGAAGACCCCGCCGAAGGTAGAGCCCGAGGGCAGGAAGTCTTCCTCGAAGTAGCTCCCCGAGAGAGGGCGGCGGGGCCCGAGGGGGGGGGGCCCGCGCTGTCTGCGCGCGGCGGCCGAGGGCGGAGGCCGCGACGAGCTGATGTTTTCGGCGACGTTGCGACCGCCGAGCGTGCCTGGGCTGAGCGGAGCCGCGGCCGTGGGAATGTGCTACTCCAGCGATGTTGCGACGGCCGCGCAGGGAGATGCGCGTTCCGCGGTCGCGGCTCTCGCTCCGCTTCAGCCCCCTCGATCCCAGACGGAATCTGTGGTTCTTCCTTGCTCTAGCGGTGCGGGCGCTGGTTCGCCCGCCACCTGCGCCGCTGCTGAGGTCGCGCCCTTCGTCACTGACCTCGCTGCTGCGCATGTCTCCATGCGCGAACGTCGATGTCGCCCACTGGGCCGCTGCGCTGGCCCAGGTTGAGCAGGGTGCTCGGTGTTCTCCTGCTTCTCTCTCCCGCTCATCCCGGCGCGCTCGGGTTCGGAGCGCTCCTCCTTCCGAGGAGTGCTTCCTCCGCGATCGATCCCTGGCCGCGCCCTCCGGCCCCCGCCCGCGAGCCTCCTGCGGCGTCGTCGACGGGTCGCTCTCGGGGGCGCTGGCGGCTGAAGCGCGCCGCGCGCGCTGGCGCAGCGCGCTTTGACTGCGCTGCACTGGCAGACGCTTGGGGGGCCTAGCCTCGCGCCCCCCGAGGCTCGTGCGCGCGCGGCGGTCTCTCTTTGCCAGGAGGCGTGCGATGCCGCGCCGAGCGGACCTGGAACAGGCGTTCGCGACTTTCGACGCTGTCGAGGTCTCGCTCCGTGGTCTGGCCGCCCGTGTTGCAGCTCTCGAGGCCTCT